CTCAACACAGAGCTTCGTCTAGTGCTTGGAGGGGATATGTATTTGGTTCCTGCATACTTTGTGGATCACTTGGGAAGCTTACTTCTACCTTAGGGGGAAAGAACATCTCTTTGGCGGCGACAACTCCTCACCTAGTGGAGAGCCGATACAATATATATAAAAACTTAGTTGAACACTGGATTAGGTGTCAGGATTCGTCGTAGTTTACCTCTTAGGGATCCCAATCCCTTCAAGCATCAGGGTTGTCCCTTATATCTCTAAACACCTGTGTCTGCTCACTGGTGCATTACCTGCCCCGCCTATATTGTAAGCAACAAGGGAATTAACTAGGTATGGACAATGTAACGGACACAAGAGGTTAAAAAACGTTTAGGTGATATTCCCCTTTTCAGATGTACAGGAAGCTACTGCAGTCACCAATCTCCCAAATTGCAAACACATGAATACTCAAACTCCCGAACTGCAAACACATGAATTCAACAATCTATGGAACTGCAAACACATGAATTCACCAATCTCCCGAACTGGAACCAGGGGAATGCTCCAAACTCCCGAACAGGAAACACACGAATGCTGTAAACAGCCGAACAGGAAAAACCATACGAACAGTTTACACTCCTGGCAGTCACACTGTAACAGCATACAATCCAATTCCCCCCAAGAACGAGACGACACTTCGTTGAGGGTCAAGCAGAACTGACTGTACTGGCACATACAGCCTCTTGTATTCACAATCCACAAACATAGTACTGCCCACAGGGTTTTGAAATACAACCAATCAATCCGTACAATACACACAGACACTCCCACACAAAATCCTCCCCTCTGCCTGTGATATGATTACTGAACACAATGGTTAATCTAATTATCACAGGCAGAGAAATACAGTATTATAAAACATATCACAGGGACCCCAAAACATGCAAAAACACCATAAAAAGTATATCCTGGGAACCCGGGGAATCTGGGTGAACCACATATCCAAAATTCACCCAGATCCGTTCAGCAGTTTGGAAGATACAGTTTAATGCAGGTTCCGCAGAACATATACAGGCGATATGAAAAATAATTACTGTTCAATGTGTCCCCTGTTGTATAGTTTAAAACTACTGCGCGATGTCTCTGTGCACCAAATACCGGCGAGATGGCACCGTGTAGAAAAGTCCAAACAGTGTCTGTGAGTTAAAATGGCCGCCATCCATTGTTCTCACCATGTGCTTCATCCATTGTTCTCACCATGTGCCTCTGATACATGAAATGGTGGCCACCCAGTAACTCCACAGTATGTCCCCAGATGGTTCTTAAAGGGCCAGCAGCAGCATAATAAAATACCATTGTGACGAGACCAATCTCTCCACATTGCATTGGAGAAGCCTGGTTGCCCGCCTGTTGCCTTTGGATTATGGCCCCATGTTAAAAGGCTTGATTTTCCCCTGCAAAGACATGAAAACCGGGTCATTTGGTGCTTGCCCTGTTTGAGCGGTGATACCCCAGATAGCTATGCCATGGAGCCCATTCGTATAATGAAAGACTATGGGAAAGACTTTGGCTCCATGGCAATTGAACTGTATGTGTGTGCTCTGAGCGCCATTCAGTAATGTGCGCTCAGACCTAAGCTATCTGGGCATATGTTGCATGTCTGTATTTTATGTCATAAATGTAACCTTGTGTATTTTATTGTATTTTACTGTCTTTTTGTTGCCATGTGTTCAATGGAGTTTTGCCTCTGTCTTTGGAGATAATTGGATTACTTCTAATTATCTCCAGGATAGAAGACTCTGTGGAACTGGTTTTGGGCAGAAAAACCATGCTTCCTGTGGTCACAAAGGACTACGATCTATCTTTTGAACCACTGGACCAATTTGTATGATTTTGACGTATGTTTGTATTTGGAGTATGCTGATTCTGAAAATTTTATGTGAATGTGATGCATACTTTTCAAGTTATGAATAATGTGGAAAAATTGTATCTCTCTGCTTGTGCTAAATTACATTACCCATTGTGTAACGTAATTGAATCACATGCAGAGGGGAGGAATTTGTGTGGGAGTGTCTGAGTGTATTGTAGGTGTTTATTAGTTGTATTTCAAAACTCTGTGGGTGGTAATAATGTGTAAGAATGTGTACATAAGCACAATAAACCCACAGCTCTGTCTGTTCACTGCTTGACCCTCAACACGGAGCTTTGTCTCGTTCTTGGGGGGATTTATTGTATGCTGTTCCAGTTCGACTGCTAGGAGTGTAAACCTATTCGTATGGTTTTTCCTATTCGGCTGTTTACAGCATTCGTATGGTTTCCTGTTCAGCGGATTGGTGTTCTTCAGTAGCTGTGCCTGCATCTCTGGAAAGGGGGACAATCACCTAAACGGTTCTTACCCCTTATGTGCAAAACGGTCCTTTACAATTGGTGGCAAGCGGCGGGATCGTTCCTACAGCCAGAAGGACAGCTACAGGAGACACCATTTGTTTGGATTTACAAGTGGGGGCAATGCATGTCCCAGTACAGCGACCCTAAAAGCAACAGAATGGAACCAGCAGTGTTATACGAGGAGGAGGACCTGGAGGGCCGGGATGCATTAAGGAAAGGCATCTGGTACCAGGCCCTGGATAATATACAATACCAGCGGGATGAGAGTCTCCCCAGTGAAGAGCAGCGGTTGCAGAAGCAAGTGGCCCTGCGGATGCCCTTCATGGGAGAGCAGCCCCTGGAGGAATGGGTGAAGGAATTGGAGCTCCGAGTATGGCAGGAGATTTGGCTGGAAGATGCCTACCAGGCGCTCTGGTGGTATGGGGCACAGTACCTGCCCTGGACAGCCGAGCATGACAAGCCAGAGGGAGAGGAGTTTGATGGTCCTGGCTTGTTATGGGAGGCTTTTGCAGAGCCTGAGTTTGGGAGCCCTACACAAGCCGAGTTCAGTGATCTCTTGGAGTGGAGGGAAAGCAGGTATGACTGGGACGACACTCACGAAATTGAGCAAGACCTGGCTCACCTAGCAACCCTGGAGTGGGAACTGGAGCAGGACTACCGAGATCTCTTCCACTCCATTGAGAAGGCTCAGCAGGACAGCAAGGTGACAGATCCAGTTCCAGACCCATTCAGCTGGGAAGACATTGTTGAGATTTACTGGGAAGAACCCCAGGTGGCGGGTGGAGATGGGAC